ATCCAATACTCGTCTCAGATCCACCCATCCTACGAGCCACAGGGCAGAACAGGAACAGAAGCCAGGGAAGAAAACAGGGCTGTGCTCAGCCTCCTTCTTTGCAGTTTGGTGTAAAGTGAAAATGGAGGACCTGTCAGTAGACGATTTCAAGATGGCAACACAGAGCATAAAGCCCAGTTCCAGGCCTTGCTGAGTGTCAGGCCATGTGGCCCTGGCTCTACAGAAGCCACAACCACAATGCCAACCTTGGTTATGAGAGCCCCTGCCAGGTGCCCTGGATGCCAGACCAGTGACAGAACAGTCTCCAGGAAGTAAAGGCAGGCAGTACAAACTTAATAAACAAATTCAAATAAACCTTCAACCCATCAGATAAATGGAAATGAAATAACCCTGGCCTGGAGTCACAGCTCTTTGGTGGTAAGGCATTGAGACCCGCCCATTCCTACATTCCAACTGCCAAGCAGTGTCTAACATGGAATGGATGCTTTATGAAAGTAGGCATGTAACGGAATATAGGCTGGGGTGTGGCCCGGTGCTAGAGTAACTGCTCAGTCTGTAAAAGAGCCCGAGTTCAGACCCAGGTACCACAAAAGACTCTCCCTCAGGAAAGCAAAGCTGCCCGCCCAAGATTACGACTTCTTACAGACAGCACCTTCTCTTATCTCATCACACTAACTTTGAGAAGAATGAGAGACAACCCTAGTGTCAGCTGCACCTTGACATGCTGTGTTGGGCAGAAACAATGCTGTTCTCAGTAACCACGAGAGCAGTGCCTGTCCCCAGTGGGAGCAGACAGGAGTGATGTCTCTGCCAAGTCTAAAGGCGAATGCACCTGGAGACTCTACATCGGGGGCTGGGCTGGGAGGATAGCTCAGCAGTGAAGAGCACTTGCTGACTCTCCTAAGTATGTGAGTCTGGTTCTCGGCACTCATGCTGAGGGCTCACAGGCACCTGTGAACACCATCCCCAAAAGATGAAACCCCCTCTTGTGGCCTCAGTGAGCACCTGCACTTCCATGCACAGACCCACACACATACACACCATTAGAAATGAATCTTTTAAAAAGTCTTCATCTCTAGATGACATGATAAAAGAACTCGGGAACAGAAAGAAAGGTGTAAAGGAAAATGGAATTTAGATGTAATAAAGTTTCTAAAAGAGACACTGAACACCGCTGTAGACTCAAGAGCGCACACAAGACAGACTGAAACATCGAATCGGATAGTGTTAGTATTTCCAACCAAGGAAGCTTTGAGGGAGCCGGGAAGGGGCTTGGCCAGTAAAACCATATGAGACTCAGTTCAGTCCCCAGAGTCCACAAAAAACTCCAGACACAAGGGCACATGCTACCAGAGACACAGACCCCTGGGATTCACCGGCCAGTTGGCTTGGCCTAATTGCTAAGCTCTGGGTCAATAAAACCCTGTTTCAAAGTTGAGAGAGGGTTTGGTGATGAACAGCATGAGAGATGCCCAGTATATGTGGCAGCCCCCCTGTAACTCCGGAGCTCAGTGGGTGGAGCTGGGATCCCTGGAGTGAGGGCTAGGCAGACTAGCCCCATCACTAAGCTCTGGGTTCAGCTGAGAGCACCCCGCTTTTAACGGATAAAGTAGGGAACAATCGAAAAAACATCAATTTTGAGCTTTCATGCATACAGACACACACGCACGCACATGCATGTGCACCACACACATGTGAAATCCACCACACATACACACATAAATATATACTTGAGGAAATAAAAGGTAGATGGAACTATGAAATCATACCCCAGGCTGTTCTGGCTGTCCCACAAAATGGTACACGCATGAACGCTCATGCCATAACCCAAAGCACCATTTTGTCTCATGTAAAGATGTCAGACTTAGCCTGACCTTGCTTTGCCCTCAATATGCCATTGACCCGCAGACAAGGGCACAGCAGCACCCCCCTCCAATCCAGAACTTAGAGGAGGTGGGCAGTGGGGATATGATTTAAGGAAAGTACACTTTGGGACACAGCAGCAGCACCCTAAGATGGAGGGCACTTGGAACAGGTCCCACAGCCCCAAGTCTTCTCAATACTACCACAGTGCCCTAAGACTACCTTTAGCAGGAGAGGAACTGGGCTGGCTACAGCTGTAGTTACACTATGCAAATTCTGTAGCATGTTGACCACTAACAGAGAGACAGTCCCACACTAGCAAACCAGTCACCTTGACAAAGGAGGATGTGCCAGCTGACCTCATTGAGGCGAACAGGAGTTCCTTTGTACGAGACCAGCACCCCACTCATGAGTGAGCAAACGCAAGAGACAAACACCCCAGTAAAAAGAAAAACAGCTGACAATTAATTATAAATTCCAGAAATGAGACATCCACTTTGAGTCTTAAATTTACTCTTCAAAAACTACTTATCCTTGGTTTAGTGTCCTGTGTGTGTGTGTGTGTGTGTGTGTGTGTATGCGTGCATGTCTGCCTGCCTATGTATCTCAGATGTTTGGTGTGGTTCCTGAGGAGTAACTCTTTGTTTTTTGAAAGAGTGTCCTCTCTGCAACCTGAGAGGTGCCATTTCAGCTAGGCTGGCTGGACAGAGGACTCCAAGGATCAGCCTACCCCCCAACCCCTGGGATTAAATGTAGCACATGCCTTGTCTTGTGTTTTACATAGATGCTGGAATTGAACTCAGGTCCTCACTCTTGTGAGGCAGGCACTTTGCCAACTGAGTTACCCCCCACTCCCATCAACCCCCAACACCTTTTCCGTTAAACGTGTGTTCTTAGTACCCAAACAGTGAAGAGGGACTTCTTTACTTGAGGAAGACTTGGAAAAGGCCCAGCCATCAATTCCAAGCTTGCTGCTGTGTGTGAGCAGCCGGCAGCTCTCCAGCTGCCCCTGGCAATCTTTAAGTTGCCCAATAAAGAACTCTTCCATCTCACTTACAAACCATCTTTTCACCTTCTGGGCCCAGATAAATATGAAAACCATGTGTTTATAATGAATCTGTTGCTATGAAAACACACTGCAAAGAATCTTCCCTTTGATTCAGGAAGATATAAAGAGAGAGGATGCCCAGCAGGCAGGAGCCCCTGCTGGAGGAAACTCAGCCAAGATGGAAGAGAAGAAAAGCATTCTGAAGGAAGTGTGCTGGGTCCCAGCAGGACCCACGGAGCTAAGATTCTCCAAGCCCACAGAACACATCTTCCAATTGGGAGTGAGGCTAAAAGTTCCCAGCTTCTTAATCTCTTCACTCCTATGGCTTTGTGACTCATCTCCCATCTGTCTAGGAGCGGCCTAGCTGCTGCCAGCTTGTTCCTGCCCACGTCTGGAATCACATTGGGTCATTTCTTTTTTCCTCCTTTGATTTTATAATTCCATGTTTTCTCCTTTTGATATATTGCATGTGTGCCTGTGTGTGTGTATGTGTCTGTGTGTGTGTCTGTGAATGTGTGTGTGTGTGTACATGCATTTGTGTGAGCATGTGTGTGGAGGCCTGAGGTTGATGATGGGTATCTTTCCACAGTCACTCTCCACCTCAGACAGGCTCTCTCACTGGGCCTGGAGTTCACTCCTCCAGCTATGCTGGCTGACCAGAAAGCTCCAGGGCCTCTCCTGTCCACCCTGTCTAGCACCAGGATTCACCGCAGCCATTCACATGCTGGCCTTGTGCTCTTGTGGGGCTTGAGCCTCCTTGTAGTCCTCCTTCTGATGCCGCTTTACGATCTCACTCAGGTGTTGCCTTGACCTTGGGCCTGACTTGTCCACATTTTCTCCAGTGTCCAGGCTTCCTCACTATGAAGAGATGCCCATAGAGCATCATCTCCAGTGGGTGAGATGGGACGATCTCAAACTAACCCCAGAAAGCCACACTTTCCAATCACCAACCTCAGAACTGGCTGATGAACCCTGGATCACCTGTCTCCGCCCGCCCCTTCTCCTAGTGCTGGAGTTCCAGGCTCACGCTGCTGCCCGCAACTTACACACGGGTTCTAGGTGCCTACTCCCATGCTTGGGAACACTTTACCCACTAAGGCATATCCACAGCTACCAACAATAAATGTTCATTAAGAAGATGGGGAGGGGGAAGAAGAGGATGAGAGAAGAAGCAAGAAGAGGAGGAGGAAGAGGAGGAGGAAGAAGAGGAAGAGGAGAAGGAAGAGGAGGAATATGAGGAAGAGGAAGAGGAAGAAGAGGAGGAAGAGGAAAAAGGGCTAACAGAAACATAAAAATTTCAACCATGCCATCATTTAAGAACTTTATAATCCTGAAACCCACAAGGTGAAAATTAACGGCACTCCCTCTGCATCCCCTAAGCATGTCAGAAGCATTCCCAAAGCCCCAATCTAAGCAACACGTTTTTAAAAAAAAACAAAAAAGTGTCCCTGGGCCTCCCGCTGCTCCAGAAATGTCCACTTGACAGGCGATTTCAAGGCTCCTTCACAAACATCTCTCGCCACCATGTACACCGCACTCACACCAACAAGATGTTCTCGTTTTGCTCAGTGAATCATCAGCCATCTGAACTTTATGAACAGTTCCTTCAAGGACACAAGATGGCAAGGCCAACCGGAGTCTCCGCTAAGGGGCTGACTTCCTGTTCCTGCTTATGTGACTCACGTGATCAAAACTCTTGCCTTCTCTTAAGTTTACGTCCATCTTTAGAAACACATTATTTCTCAAGTGCAGAGTCCAGTGGCGTTTGGGGTGGGAGTGGGGGATACAAAACAGAATTTGGTGGTTAACTTTTACTGAATTGTAGCACGCCCATTTGACTATCCCCAACATATACTTCTTCACTGCTAGACACAAAACTCACCCGTCTTACCAGGGATACAGGGAATGCCCAGCATTAGGTACATGGATTGAACCAAAATATTACTGTCGCATGGCAACAGGCAGACAACCTCCAGCTACGCCGCCCACTCTGCTTCCTCACACAACCTAATCAACCGGCACCTCCACTTCACCGGAAGCCTCTTTGGTTATCCACACCCTTATGGAGAACTGTAGGGAATATACCTACCTTGTGGCCTCCTGCTGAAGCCGTGACACATTTGGCACATAGAACATGACTCCGAAGAAAAGCAGAGGCTCATTAGCAAACTTGTCCAGATGTTTCTTCAACGGCTTCTCCAGCTCCACCCATCTCGCCTGCTGGCTCTTGCTGAGAAACCAAAGGCCGAAGTAGTGTGTCTAGATAAAAGGGTAAGATCCCGTCAGTCTGTGCTTTTCCCACAGCAGTCTGAGACCACACAGAAAACAAGCCTCCCCCAGCTATGTCGTCAGAAGCCCGAGATCCTGGGCCTACATGCAGAGATTCAGCTTCTTCTATTTCCCAGCGTGGGACGAGCTGAAAGAAATCACATCCACTGATACAACCACCTACAGAAGCAGTATTCCAAACGACTGTGCTGCTTGTGCCTGTGTGTCCCCGCAAACCTGTGTCAAACCTGAGGGGCTGGGGCAGACTGGGGATAGGACTGACCTTACAGGAAAATATAACCATCTGAGCACAGAGACCAAGGTCAGCCTTGGTGTCCATCCTCAGCAGCACGCCACCTCTGTTTTTCACACAAGATTTCTCACAGAGAGTTGGGGTTCACTGATGGACTAGACAGGCTGCCCAGTGGTAGCCTCCGGTCTCGCTTACCCAGTTCTGGGATTTCAAGTGTTCCTCAGCACACCTGGCTGAGGTGCTGGGGGTTGAACTTTGGTCCTTGTGTTTGCAAGGACGCACTTAACCAGCTGAGGTGTCTCCCCAGCCAGAGGGTTGACTTCTTTCCTAAAATCAGAAGAACAACTCCCTGTCTGATTCGACACTTGGCAGCTACCATAGAGTCACTTCTTACTCGGTTCTGAAAACAAACCCTGCCAGCTGTAAGCTTTGCCAATGTAGAAACTTCACAATCGATCAGATTTTAACTAAAAAGACATGTGTTCTGTTTGTACCTTTATTATACATGAATTGTTTGTTATAGACTTCTCCCATATCATGCTTTGAGATTGGAAGGCTCTCTTCTCCACAGCTGCCCCCAAAGCCACTGGTGGCTCTTGGAAGATTACTTCGGCATTTGGTGAATGAAAGTGTGATTATCACCCTAAAACTTGAAGCTTCAACCAGCTTGGGTATGAACAACATGCTGAATGACTGAGACATGGTAACTTCACACACCCAATCCTGTTTTTATTTGAACGTGTGCTAAGATTTCAGGATTAGTGCAAACAGATACACACACACACACACACGCACACACACACGCACACACACACGCACATACACACACGCCCACTTCTGAAGACGCCTTTGTGTTCGATTAGAGCCTGGGCTGGCTTACAGCACACCTGGAGATCTGCCTTCAGAAGAATGTGCTCATTACCAAGTTTAATTTCCAAACGCATTCTTTCTCCTCACTACAGCTGGCTACCCCCTCCAGTCACTGCAGAACAATTCCTACAAAAATCGCCAATGAAGCCTTGGTCCTGCTTTCCCAGCATAACCCTGGCCTACAAAAGCCGGAGCACACAGGCTGGCAGAGATGGTTTTCTCAGCCAGGTTGAAATGGTTGCATCCCCCAAGGTGCTCCAAAGGGCAGGTTTGGGTCTGTATCTTCTCAAGCTACAAAATGCAAGACTGGGCACTCAGTGATGTCTCTATCAACACAAGCAAAGCTGACTGAACCCACTCTTGTCCAGCTGTGTATGTCTTGACTTTTGTGAGTCTGTCTGTGTTTCCAACACGAGAGATGGCACAATCGAGGTCCACAGGTCCCTACACAGAAGAGCTCTGAGGTTCATATACCTAGATATCTCTCTCTCCCTCTCTCTCTCTCTCCTCTCTCTCTTCCCTCTCTCTCTCTCCCTCCCTCCCTCTCTCTCTGACTCCATACGCAAAGGAAGGCCTAGACTCCTAGAGGCTTTGACTTCAAGATGGAGTGGCTGCAGTTCTTATCCACGTGCTGCACAGAACACTGAGGAGCTAATATCTGCCACCCACATCCAGGGCTCACAGAAAGCACAGCACAAGGCAGGTCACCTGACTAATTTTCACTGGCTCTTTTTAGCACCAATATTTTCATGGTTTAGAGCTAGAAACCCAACCTCCCAGAGGCTCATATAAAACCTTGGTCCCAGGTTCACAGGGCCTGGTGGGGATATATTCTGAAAGGAGATCATAGCACCCTGAGCCCTTTCCTCCCGTTTGCCTTCCAAAGGTGGCAAGCCTTGTTTTGCACCTCTGCACACTTCCAGCAGGGTACGCTGCCTTGTTGCAAGCAAAGAACAAAGGAGACAACAAATGACCAACACAAAGCACTCTCTGAAGTCAACCTTTGGTAAATTGATCAGGTTACCAAATATAGTAACAGAAAGCTGACAATGGTTCTGTGGACCACAGAATTAGAAAATGCTGCCAGGTAGAAGGGGAGGGCTAGGAGGTGGCTCTGCTGGTCACATGCTGGCTAAGCAAGTGTGGGGACCTTGATTTGGAGCCCTGGCACCCAGGCATGTCGGCATACAGCTGTAATCCCAGTGCTGGGAAAGCCAGCCAGCCTAGACAAACTGACGGACCCCAGTTAGTAAGAAATAATAAAGTGGGGAGCAGCTGAGAAAAAGACATGACATCAACCTACTGGCCATGTATGCGTGCACGCCCTCACCACATGCACACACTTTAAATATACACAGAGGCAGAGAAGACAGCCCAGTGGTTCACACCTATAATCCCGGCACTTGGGAGGCTGAGGAGAGGATCATGAGTTTGAGGTCAACCTAGGCTATATCCTACCTCAAAACAACAAAGAACAGAACAAACCAGGAGTGATGGCTCGTGCCTAGAAGCCCAGCCCTTGGGAGGTGAGGGCAACAGGATCAATTCCAGATAACACTCAGCTACATAAGAGATGTAGGCCAGCCTAGGCTAAGAGAGATTCCGTCACAAGCAACAACAATAAAACCACACACCGAAACAAGCAAGAAAGGAAAGGGAGTCAGGCTAATATCAGGAACATAAGAAACGGCTAACGGAAGCCAGATTAGCTACAGATAATAGAAAGAAAGGCCTTAAGCAGGCATGAAAAATAACCACAAAGCAAGAAGAGGTTCTGCAGCCCTCTGGAAAGTCTTGTCCTAGGCACTTCTGGGACACTGGAGGAACTGCTGAGTCCTACAGATACACCCACCAGGAACCAAAGACTCAAGACACAGGCTAAATCCAGATCCTCTGTGCTTCATTCAGCACCTGCCTGGAAAGGGTCCCAGGCCCTTCCTCACCGTACCAACCCCTGCACTGAAGAAAAGGCCATACAACAATCCCTCAGTGTGTTTTGGGGAGCTGAGAGTGTTTACAAATAAACACTGAGGTAAGCACTTAAGCCGTGGCCCACAGTGATTTCTAGAAGTGTGAGAGCCCTTTTGTGAGCATGGGCAAAAGGAAGCTCACACCTCAGGACTGCGGAGTGGACTAGCCCCGCCTTCCATTAGAAGTACTGTTGATGTTTCCGCCATGTTTTTATGCTCCATCTGAACCATAATACTCATTCAAAATTTTAATAGTCAAATTATGAAGGACAGCAATGACCACAGGAAGAATTCAGTGATTTGGGGAGGACTTTTTTTTTTAAGTTTTAAAAGATGTGTCTATGTAGTATGCGTAATTGTTTTGCATGCATGTGTGTCTATATGTGCCTGGTACCCTCTGAGGCCAGAAGAGAGCATCAGACCCTCTGAAACCAGAGTGACAAACAGTTGTAAACCACCATGTGTGTGGTTGGAATCTGACCCAGGTTCTCTGCAAGAAGAGCTAGTGCTTTTAACAACTAAGCCGTCTCTCTAGCCTGAAATCAAAAATTTGTATTGCTAACACCTTGCAGGGTATTCTTTTAACTCCTCTTCTTTTCATACCTATACACTGAGATCACTACACCAGAGAGAAAACCACCATGAAGGGACATTTTACAGAGCACGTACTCCTGTACAACACACACACACACGAGTGTACGCACATACACACACACACATACACACACACACATATATGAGCGTGTGCACATACACACACATCACATACACATATGTGTGCACACATGTACACATGCACAAACAAGTGAACACACATGTGCACAGGATGGAGAACACTTTTGCTTGAGGCTCTAAGTACTAATCTTGAGACACAGTAAGTGGTAAAGAGTTCTAAATAACAAAGCAAATCACCTCTCATGGAAACTGAATTTGTGGCATAAGCATTTGTCATTGCTGTTGCTGCTGAAATAGTCTTTTTCCAAACAGTGCCAAGCAGTTCCCAGTGATTCACTATGCAATTATCCAATGAAACAGTTATAAAACTACTCAAGAAACGGGGCCCTCTAATAAAGAGGCAAATGAAATGAACAGGCATTTATGAACAGACAAAACTCACAGTCCGCAGATCAAGGGAAAATGCTCAACCCTGTCTTACTGCCATGGATACGCAAATCGGAACTACAATGGGGTTCCCAGGCATGCCCACTAAAAGGAGGATCATGGAAACAATGCTGGCAAGGGAGGGGAGGCCATATACACGGATGGCGGGGATGTCCTGATGGGGCCTCTGTGGAAGTCAGTGTCAAGGTTCCTCAAAGCAGGGAAACCTGTACTGCCATATGACCTGGGATACAGCCACAGAAATTTGAGCCAGCACTCCACAGAGATGCTGATGATGGCACGATTCACTCACCCCAGACAAGGTGTAGGATCAATAGATAAACCAATAAATGGGTCAAGAAGATGTGTATACATAAACTGTGGCGTTTCACTGAGTCATAAAAAAAGAATGTCTTTTTCAGAAACCAGATGGAACTGGAGAGCATATTAAGCAAGATAAACCTGACCCAGAAAGACAAATGTCACTTTGTTTTCATCTGTGACTCCTTGACCATGTATGTATGTACATCAGGATATGCACACATATGTGTGTGCATATATACATATATGTGTGTTTATACATAAATATGTATGTATATACACAGGATGTACGGGCACTGTGGCTATAGTGAATTGGTTGAGTACTTGTCTGTCCAGTCCACCACCATGACAAGCTGGGTGGGGTCTCCCACCTAACGCCAGCATTAGACAGGCGGAAGGATCAAGGACAGTGAACAGGAAAAAGTGAGGGAGAGTGAACACAGCTGAATACCAAGAATGTCACTACGAATCCTATC